ATGGACTGGGAGGGACTGGGAGGGACTGGGAATGCACTGGGAATGGACTGGGAATGGACTGGGAATGGACTGGGAATGGACTGGGAGGGACTGGGAATGGACTGGGAGGGACTGGGAATGGACTGGGAAAAGACTGGGAATGGACTGGGAATGGACTGGGAATGGACTGGGAATGGACTGAGATTAAATTGGAAGAACTTGGTTTGCACTGGGAGGGCACTGGGAATTGACTTGGAGGGGACTGGGAGGGCACTGGGCTGGACTGGGAATGAATCGCGCGGCTCTGGGGCCGAGTCCAGCGCGGGGCACTCGGCGCTGCGGGTCTGCCTGGCAACTGATGAGTCATCAGAGACGCGCGCTCTGATTGGCTGAAGGCGTAAATTTCACGCTTCGCTGAGATGGACGCGCTGCGGGGGCACTGGGGGGAACTGGGATGGACTGGGAAATGTACGGGAGTCACTGGGGATGGAGAAGGGCCACAAGGAGGGCTGAGGGCTCTGGGGCGATTCCCAGGGAGGTTTTGAGGGGCTCCGGGGTCATTGGCGGGGCAGAGCCCGAGGGGACGCGCTCGGCCCCGCGCTCACCTCTGCGATCCACGAGGAACCGGGTGAACACCCCGTAGTTTCGCCGGCAGGCTGTGTCCACCAAAGCCCGTCTGCTCTCCATCCATTCCGGCAGGTTGTTCCAATACCGGGCATTCCTCTCCCCCCAGGGGGTGAACCCCACGTAGTCCCCCACGTCGCTGTCGAACTTCAGGAAATCCACGCGGTTGTAGATTAACCTCTCCACATACGTCACCTTCTCCGTGCCGTTTGTGAAGTGACACTCGCCCTTAAACATGTGCTGGAAGACTTCTGAGTGTGCAGGGACAGGTCAGGGGTGCCCTCCCAACACTCCCGAGCTCCGGGGACACCCCGGATCCCCACCCCACACCCCCTGTACCCCATGGCCGCCTGGGGACCCTCCCGCCCGCGCTCCCCCTTCTCCTTTTCCACTCTTGTCCATATTTCCCCTTTCACATCCTCACCCACCACCATTTCCATCAGCATCCAAGATCGGTTCTGGAATTCCTTTTCCTCTTTTTTCCCCATTTCCCACCCTTTTATCCCAAAATCCTTTACTCGCAGCCTTCTTCCGGTCTGATCTCGCATCCCACTTTCACCCTTTTCCCCCTTTCCCACCCACTCCAGCTCCTTTCTCACCTTCCCCCATCTCTCAGGCCCTCCCGCTCTTCCTTTGGGGTTACCCCCCCCCTCTAAATTTTTGAGTCCAACACACCATTTATCCCATTTCCCCCCTTTCCCATCGCATTTCCCGTCCCCCCCGCTCACCCGAGAGCTCCTCGCCCGCAGCCGGGGCCGCTCCCAGCCCCACCAGTGCCACCAGT